ACCACAAAAAAAACAAAAAAAAAAAAAAAAAAAGAAAAAAGTTTCAGTAACTTAAAAAAACAAAAACAAAACCACTTTATTAGGACAAACTTGATCACTTCACCAACAGAAAAAATATTATAAACATGAAATGTTATATCCACCCAGAACAATACTGACACATATATATGAGCAAACCTTCAGGTTCGTCTCTCCATCCAAACTGGCAGTTGTAACATGACATGAACCATCGAGTCGATCTGAGGACAGAAGCACCAAATCTGCAGGGAAAATTTCATCTTTGGCTATACGGACAATATCACCCACCTAGGAAATTAGGAGAGAAGGGATCACACATGCTTTAAAAGGCAAAGATTTGTTTTCATTAACTTTTTATGTAGTTTTTGAAATGTAGAAGACACTCAGGGGCTTGAGCATGTGAAGTAAATACTCTGCCACTGATACATACACAGAGGATTTTATTTTATATATATATATAAATTAAGACTAAAACTATGACACCAAATATAATTCTACACAATTTTCCATCTACATACCCGAATGTTTTTTGATCTAGTTTTCACAAGGCCACCACTTCTAACAACATAAACAGGAGCTCCATTTACTTCATTATCTGAGTTATGGCGTAACCAGTCTTCATATCCCTGTAAATAAGCACAGAAGAAAAATTACCCTATCAGAATATTTTTAAAGATACTTTATCAAATGAGAAAACAAATACCCCCCCCCAATTTCCCTGAAACATTCACTAGAATTCTATTAGATTACTTAGATGCCTAGAAAAATAATGACATTTCTGACATTATTCTTACCAGAAACATTATCTCTCTGTTTCCATTACATACATGCTCCTAGTGTTCTGAGATCCTGACCTTCCTTGTTTTCCTGTGAAGGTTTCTCCTGTTACCTTTTTGAGTTTTTCCAATAATCTTAGCAATAAAATTATTCTATTTATTTCTATGTGTTCAAATAATATAAAATATGCTGGTAATTCTAAAATATCTTTTCTCCAACTCCTACTGCTTCTGGAGTCCAAAAGTGAATATTTAACTGCATTACTAATATCTCCACTTGAGGACTCATAAATATCTTTTTTTGATACTCTGACATAAAACATGTGTGTGTGTGTTTCCTAGTCATTTTCACCCTCACCCCTAGAAACCTTCCTCTGAACAAGCTCACTCCTGTGATGTCTTTTTGTGTGTATGACCCATTCAGTTTAATTTTGGTTGCTGGCATGGGCATGTGTGGGTGTGGGGTGGTATACATTTATCCTTTTATCCACAAATAAATGTCACCTTCAACCCTCATCAAAGAACTTCTCTTTATAACAGAGATCACTACAAAGAACCAAAATCAATCAAAATGCAAAGTTGTAGAGCCAGAACTCAACGGATGTACAGAATACCCACACACCTAACACTCAGGAAACATTGCAGAAGAGGAGGCAGAGATTGTAAGAGTCAGGTTCAGGGAACTTGGTTGACACTGTGTCTGCTAAGCAATACCAGAAGCTACACCCATGAAGTCTCACCAATATGACTGCCCAAACATGAGCTAAGCAAAGAGGACACTAATAAACATGCCAAATTGCATGCGGGAAAAGTCCATGAGGTCCCAAGCCTACACAAAGAACTACAGGCAACTGTTTAAAGCTTGGAGAGGAGAGGTAGTACACTCCAGGAAGAGCACACCTGGTTGCTCAGTGACAAACAGTCATCTCTGAAAACACACAAACAAGTACCATTACATTGACTCAAACAGGTTATATTTAGAAACAAACAAACATATACACACACACACATATATATATACATATATATATAAATACACATATACATGCAATAACAATTGATGAAAAAGAGGCCATGAATTTGAAGGACATTTGGGAGGCATATATGTAGTAGGGTTTGGAGGGATGAAAGGGAAGGATGAAATGTTGTAATTAAAATACAATCTTTAAAAAAATGGAAGAAAAAGAAAGGAAGTAAGAAAGAAAGAGACACACACACACACTTCCTCTCAGTATTCATTAACTCACATTTCCTTAGTAAAGTGTGGGGCTCATAAATATCTTAAGGATATTCAGAGCTGATTTTGGATACTATTGCATCCTAAAGTCCATATTGACAAATGCCATGGCTAAACATGCCAAAAGCCCAGGATGACACTTGTGACTTCTGCATTTTCCTAAAATTATTCAATCATTAAATGCTTTTATGTACAAATAATGTTTTAAGTCATACAGCATACATTCACTCAGGCAACAAACAGAAGCAACACAAAATAAAAACCAACCAAACTTCAAATCTGAAGTTGATTTCTTTTCCTTTCTTAAAATAAAGACCACAGAACTAATTATAATTTAAAAACTTTTTAAGCCCTGGCATGATATGACAAGAGAAAAATTCCACATCTTTTTTTTTTTTGGTTTTTCGAGACAGGGTTTCTCTGTGGTTTTGGAGCCTGTCCTGGAACTAGCTCTTGTAGACCAGGCTGGTCTCGAACTCACAGAGATCCGCCTGCCTCTGCCTCCCGAGTGCTGGGATTAAAGGCGTGCGCCACCACCGCCCGGCTAAAATTCCACATCTTACATCACATGTAAAACACTATTTTATATATAAAATATTAGAAACTAATGCATAAAATTACCTTCAGGGTAAGGACATAAAGTACAATAGGGGAACCCCCCCACCCCAGAACATCACAGCTATTACTAAGGCTGTTGGTTGCTCTCTACAAACTGATGGTAAGGCCCTATTCTGAAGATAAAACTTATAGCACTGAACACAAAGATGTAGAGTTGGTATCTAACTAGAAACCTCACTCCTACTGACTAGAGTTTATGGTACATGAAGATACTTTGCACACTGAGAAAGTAATCAACAATATTGTCAAGGTACAAGCCCTAAGACATACACCAGAGACCTGCCCATAAGATAAACTAGTACAACAATGGCATATTATAGGAGTAACCAATAACTTTCTGATTGGATTTAAGGCACATTCCATGAAGTGGAACATATACCCAACACTGCTAAATTAGCCAAGAACCTGAGGAAAACCTAATACAATTATTCTGGTAAATGAACATAGCAATAAAATGACTCCTAATGACATACTGCTATACCCATAGATCAGTGACTTGATCAGCCCTCATTAGAGAAGTTTCTTCTTGCAGTAAATGGGAATCAACACAAATACCCACAATTAAGTAATATGCAATAGATGAAAGACTGTGTAGCACTAAGTTCTAAATGGGTGTCTTCAGCAAAGCCCTCCTGTCAAGGCTCAGGGAGCTATGTAGAAGACCTGTCAGAAAGCTTATAAGAGCTGGAGGTGATAAATCAAATTACTGATAATTGTTTTTTGACAGTCTGCTTTTTTGGGAGAAAACATTTTGGGAAAGCACTGTGAGACATCTATGATGTGGGAGTGTCATGTGTCAATCTGTTGATTTCTTTGGTTAAGCAATAAAGAAACTCCTTGGCCCCGATAGGTTAAAGCATAGGTGGGAGGAGTAAACAGAATAGGATGCTGGGAGGAAGAGGAAGTGAGCTCAGACTCTGCTCTGCTCTCTGGAGCAGAGACGCCAGGCTCTGCTCTCCCAGGCAACTCCGACCCAGGATGGATGTAGGCTAGAATCTTCCTGGTAAGCGCACCTTGGGGTGCTTACACACATTATTAGAAATGGGATAAATTAATATGTGAGAATTAGCCTAGAAGAGGCTAGACAGAAATGGGCCAAGCAGTGTTTAAAAGAATACAATTTGTGTGTTGTTATTTCGGGCATGAGCTAGCAGGCGGCCGGGGTGCTGGGGA